AAATGGTCAAAAAAAACCTCAGAAATGGTCCGGGAGAGGTGCCCCGAGGTACCCTCAACCCTCAACCCTCAACCCTAAACCCTAAACCCTAAACCCGAAACCCTACATCCTAAACCCTAAACCCCCCCTGAAATGCCAGGTGCGCCGCCCCGCCCCATACGCGACGTCCGTCATCCCGGACGAGGACGCCATGAGCGAGCGCAGCTGCGTGGAGGTCGGGCTGCCTGTTGGGCATGGGTTTAGGGTTTAGGGGGGTTTAGGGTTTAGGGTTTAGGGTTTAGAGTTTAGGGTTTAGGGTTTAGGGTTTAGGGTTTAGGGTTTGCAGTACAGAGTGTAGGGTTTCGGGTTTCGGGGTGTAGGGTTTCGGGTTTAGGGTGCATTAGAAGCCTGGGGTTTAGGGGTTTGGGGCTTAGCTTTTTGGAGGACTGCTCTATACAGGCTGTACAAACCCTAAAAAACCCTAAACCCTAAAGACCCTAAACCCTCAACTCCTGAACCCGAAACCCTAAACCCCCTAAACCCTAAACCCTCTGAACCCTAAAGCCTCTAAACCCTAAAATCCGGAACTGTGCCGCCAGGTGAATCCAAAGCATCCGGTGCCGCTACCGCCCAAGCTGAAGCCCATGGATCACTGGGCGGGGGCCCCTGACATGGGGGTTTAAGGTTTCGCAGTTTAGTGTAGGTTTAGGGGTTAGGTCTTTAGGGGTTTGGGGGTTTGGGGTTTAGGTCTTTTTCAGGGTTCAGGGTTGAAGACCTATGTACGTAGGGGTTTAGGGTGTGCGAGTACGTATGTCCTGTGTATATTTCTATATGCCCCGACTCTGCAGCAGCGCAGAGCAAGCCTGACATCAGCATCCAGAGAAGGGCTTGGCACACGCGAGGGAGCCGCTGTCGGGCCTGCGTGGTGTTTGGTTGTGGTGGTGGGGGGGGGGGGGGGGGGGGGCGAAGCACATGCATATAGTTTCTGGGTTGGAGTCCGGACCCAAACATCCGCAAACCCATCACCAAAATTTGATAAAGTTTGACACCACAGCGCCGCGTACCGGACCCCCCCTATCATCCACCCTAACCCTAAACCCTAAGCACGAATTGCTCGCTGCAAGGATCTCATCGTCGCCTTTGACACACAAAAGTTTCGGAATGAATACGAGGCCTACGTGAAGGCCCTTCTGCCCCCTGGGTTTCCACCCGTGGGGCTTGGAAGTAAGAAGGAGGGACCCCTAGAAGGCACCCTTAACTTAATTCCTCTACATAGCCCCGAATATGTGCACTTGATATAGCCCCTACATACCTAACTAGCCCCTACACTACCCCTAAGGTCCCTTATGAGGGTCCCTCATTTAGTCCCTTGATGGAACATCCGGAAGTCCTGGAACTTGGAACTGTGAGGGCCCCCAAACCCTAAAGTGCTTCTAACGTAAGTGCACCAACGATTACCAAAGAAAAAGGATAGCGTATAATGCGGGGTGTATGGGTCTGTTTTGCGCGGACCGAAAAAATCTGCATGTCGAAAGCATTCACGAAGAATTTGTTCTCAACACCCTCTATCGTGTCTGGCCCTAGACTCCCTAGACTCTACTTGAAGGTTCATGGTACTCATGAACCAATTAGAACTGTGCTGATAACGCCACTTATGAGCCCCTTAAGTTATAAGTACAGTTACAATTGGTTAATGAGTACCATGAACCTCCAAGTAGACCCTGAACACTGAACGTTCTCGTGTTTGGCTCAAAGGCGCGCAGGCTTGGTGATCTCTGTGGCCACTCCCAAAGGTAGCTTGGTCAGGACGCGTGTCGTGCGCCATGGTGAACGCCCGGGCCCCGAGGTGCAAGCAGCAAACTTCGAGCCTAGGCCCACCATGCCGAACTGTTAGGGTTCAGGGTTTTAGGGTTTAGGGTTTTTAGGGTTTAGGGTTTAGGGTTGAGGGTAAAGTTCTTACAATGGAAGTACCTGACATCCCCTTGTCTCCCCCTTGGAGTGGGCCGCAAACGGCTGAGGCCGCCCCAGAGACGAATGAGGGCAACGAGGCCAACGAGGTCAACGAGGAGGTGGCGGCGGCGGCTGCGGAGGAAGTGCCATCCGGCCTGGGACCCGGCTTAGGGGCTTGTAGGAGGTTTTAGGGGCGTTATTGGAGGGCTTCGGGCGGTTGTAGGGCGTTTCGGGCTTAGGGGTTCTTAACAATAGTAGGGTCGAGGGTGCTTTGGGGGAGGTTTCGGTCTGGGGGGGGGGGGGGGGTTTGCTCCTCAGGCTCTGAATCTTGAGCAGAATTGTCACGAAGAAGGGGGCAAACACAAGTCATGCTTCAGGCCCAAGCGGCTCAAGCGAGAGTCGCCTTCCGCCGGGCGCCTGGCAAGACTTTTCTCCCTGGTTCCTAGTAGGAAATGAGGGAATGAGGCACCTTATATCCCCCTATAATATATACCCTTAACAAAGGAGCATGCAGGGTACCTCATTCCCTCATTCCCTACCAAGAACCAGTAAGTTTTCGGAGTGTTGTTTGCAGAAACGGTTTCTTTGGCAAACCCTCAGGGCTGATGTATAATTCCCTCCCTGATTATTTGGGCGTCCGCCTATTGCCGTTCCCTTCATTCTTTATAGGTTTACATAAACGTATATATTTCAAACCCTACACCACCGTTATAACCACACTTTTTCCCCTAAACCCTAACCGTTCAACCCGATAGAGTTAAGGTTAAGGGGTTAGGGTTTTTGATTTAGGCATTTTAAAGTTTAAGCCTAAACCCACAGAGCATTTAAAACGACAACTCAGAGAGTTTTAACCTTAAGGGTTGAAGGTTCGGGCAGTCAACCTTAACCCTGAACCATTTAGGGTCAGAACCTGCTTGCCACTCTGGCCCTGGATCCAAGATTGCTCCGGAGATTCTGCCGTGGACATCTTGGATCTTGGATCTTGGATCTTGGATCCCACCCCATATTGAATATTGAAAAAAACGGTTCAAAAATTCAATATCGGGCAGAATCCAAGATCCAAGATCCAAGATGCCCACGGGAGAAATTCTGCAGCAATCTTGGATCCCACCCGGGCCCTGGATCCAAGATTGCTCCGGAAATTCTCCCGTGGGCATCCTGGATCTTGGATCTTGGATCCCACCCAATATTTAAAAAAAAATACAATATTCAATATTGGGTGCCATAAGGCTCAGTCCCTTACACCTCAACACGGTTATCTTCAAGAATGCAAGTCCCTTAGACCTTAACAGGGTTAAAACTTCCAGAAAAAACCTTAACACAGTTAAATCCTCAAGAATGCCTAAAAAAGCAGGGGGGGGGGATATACACGTACCCAACCCTAAACCCTAAACCCTGAACTCGAAACCCCAAACCCCAAACCCCAAACCCTAAACCCCAAACCCCAAACCCTAAACCCTAAACCCTAAACCCTAAACCCTGAACCCTAAACCCTAAACCCTAAAACTCTAAGCCCTAGGTTCTGTTTCGCAAATGTCATCCCAGGCTTCAGCTTAGCCGGCTCCCGGCCGACAAGCTTCTGAAAGTCCATCAGGCCCCCAGAGGGGTTGAGGGATTACTTGGTTTAGGGTTTAGGGTTTAGGGTTCAGGGTTTAGGGTTCCGGCTTCACGGGTACTTGTGGGAACTATGGTTATAACCTTGTTTGGGGTACGGATAAGCCCGCTTCTCAGTGCCCATGAGCCTCCGAGTAGGGTTTCGGGCTTTAAGGCCTTGGCCTGCATAGGCTGTCCTTGTTTGCCTTCGCCTGCTTCTGCTCTTCTTGAAGAGCCAGTGGAGAAGAGCCCTAAACCCTAAACCCTAAGCCCTAAACCCTAAGCCCTAAGCCCTAAACCCTAAACCCTAAACCCTAAACCCTAAACCGTAAACCCTAAACCCTAAACCCTAAACCCTAAACCCTAAACCCTAAACCCTAAACCCTAAACCCTAAACCCTAAACCCTAAACCCTAAGCCCTAAACCCTAAACTCTAAACCCTAAAGGCGCTCATGGAGCTTCAGGAGGTGCGCCGGACTCTGGTGAGATGCAGGGAAGGATTTTCTGGAACCGTATGCCCTGGGATGTTCCCACTTCTACTTGCCAGTCCCTAATGGGGATTCTAGCATAGGTTTGGGGTTTCGGGTTTAGGGTTTGGGGTTTAGGGTGTAGGGTTTAGGGTTGAGGATTTAGGGTTTAGGGTTTGGGGTTTAGGGCTTCTGCTAACAGTCCTGAAGTACCCCCCTTTAAGGACTGTTTGTAGAAGGGGGAATATTCAACTTATGCCCGAAGAACCCTCCAAAACCATCGAAAGCCACCAAAAGCCATCATAGAAACCATCATCGAAACCACCAAGAAAACCATCAAAGGCCACCAAGAAGCCACCAAGCAGCCACCAAAAGCCATCAAAAACCATCAACAACCATCAAACACAACCAAAAACCATCACAAGCCATGACAAAAACCATCAAACACCATCAGAAACCCTCAAAAGCGACTTTTCAACCGCAGGTGCTCGAAAAACACACCCACCGAATGGGACTGGGGTGTACCAGTTTTCCCCACTTGTCCTTCATACTTCAGACCCCAAACGCCTCCCGCACCCCCCCAAGTGTGCCCTACACCCCAAACACCCCAAACACCCCAAACACCCCAAACACCCCAAACACCCCAAACACCCCAAACACCCCAAACACCCCAAACACCCCAAACACCCCAAACACCCGAAACACCCCAAACTCCACAAACTCCCCAAACCCCCCAAGTAAGCGACCATCCTCCGCCCTCTAAACCCCGAAACGCTGGAGCCCAAAACCCTAAACCCCCCTAAGCCCCTACTTCCTGAACCCTGAACCCTAAACCCCAGAGCCTGCTTCATGAACACCAAGCCACTGCCTAAACACCCTCAACTGCCGCCCGGAAGCCCCAAGACTGCAAGGCCTAAACTTCACGGAGCCCTGAAGCCCTGAAACCCTTGAGACCTGAAGGCCTGATACCCTGAAGCCCTGAAGCCCTGGTACCCGGAAGACCTGAAGCCCTGAAACCCTGAAACCCAGAAACCCTCAAAACCCTCAAAACTCCCCCACTGAACCCTGGACCGAGAATGAAACCCTAAACCCTAAACCCTAAACCCTAAACCTGAAACCCTAAACCCTAAACCCTGAAACCCTGAAAACCCTCAAAACTCCCCCACTGAACCCTGGACCGAGAATGAAGGCAGGCTTGAGTGAAGTGCCTGACCTCTCAGCTCTGTCGAGGGTGGCCCGGGAACCCAGCGGTCCTGGGCAGGGTTTTTCGGCTTTGGGGGTTTAGGGTTTAGGGTTTAGGGTTGAGGGTTGAGGGTTTAGGGCTTGGGGGGTGTTTGGCTGGTTTTTGTTGTGGTTGTAGTTGAGGGGGGGGGGGAAGGAGGTGTTAAGTGATTCAGGGTTAAGGTTGAGTGTAGGGTCTAGGGCGATGAAACAAGGGTTGGCTGGGGCTGTAAGCTGTAAGTGTTAGTCCAAGGGTTCAGGGTTTCAGGACTACTGGAGGCGTTTCCCCGTCTGAACGGGCAGGGGCATGAGGGTCAACCTAAATCCCAGACCGGAAATTGTTAACCCTAAGCCCTCAACCCTCAACCCTCAACCCTCAACCCTCAACCCTCAACCCTCAACCCTCAACCCTCAACCCTCAACCCTCAACCCTCAAACCTCAACCCTCAACCCTCAACCCTCAACCCTCAACCCTCAACCCTCAACCCTCAACCCTCAACCCTCAACCCTCAACCCTCAACCCTCAACCCTCAACCCTCAACCCTCAACCTAAACCCTCAACCCTAAACCCTAAACCCGAATCCCTCAACCCTAAACCCTCAACCCTCAACCCTAAACCCCAAGCCCTAACCCCTAACCCTAAACCCTAAACCCTAAACCCTAAACCCTAAACCGTAAACCCTAAACCCTAAACCCTCAACCCTCATCCCCAAACCCTCAACCCTCAACCCTCAACCCTCAACCCTCAACCCTAAACCGTAAACCCTAAACCCCAATGCGGTTCAGGGTTTCGGGTTTCGGGTGTAGGGTTTAGGGTTTAGGGTTCAGGCCAAGTCACAGATTCGCATGCCCATTCGTTTGAGGGGCTGGAACCTGAGTTTTGCTAGCAAAAGGTCAAGAAGAAGACGGACGCTGGCAATAACGCGCGCCTGCCGTTTGAGGACCCATCTGCACATTTGTGAATCAGACGTGAGAAAGGCCAATTCTGCAAAAATCCTGCTAAACCTCAAACCCTATGCCCCATACTTGAACATCCTAAAGCCCTGAAGCACAAAACCCTACGCCCCTAAACCCGAAGCCCTAAGCCCTAGACCCTAAACCAGAAGCTCTTAACCTTAAACCTCAAAAACCCGACGCCCCTGAAACCGCAAATGCCCGAGGACCATACGTCCGAGTACATGGGAATGACCCTGTGGGCATGGACTCCCAAGCGTGCAGACCCCGGCCAACCCATTATACCCAAAGCGGGTTTAGGGTTTAGGGTTTGGGGTTTGGGGTTTAGGTTATAGGGTTTAGGGTTTAGGGTTTAGAGTTTAGGGTTTAGGGTTTAGGGTTTAGGAATTCCAGTGCTTCTTGCAGGTTCACGGACCTTCGGCCCTAAAACCTGAACCCGAAGCCCTAAGCCCCGAAACCAGAACCTGCCAAAGGCTGGTTTGAGAACATCAACGGGACGGGCAAGGCAGCAGGAGCGAAGTCCGAGGCGTGGCGGGGCTTCAAGCCAATGGGGGTGAGAGCCTAAACCCTAAACCCTAAACCCTAAACCCGAAACCCGAAACCCTAAACCCTAAACCCTAAACGCTAAACCCTAAACCCTAAACCCTAAACCCTAAACCCTAACCCTAAACGCTAAACCCTAGACCCGCGGTGTCGCAGGTTCAGAGGTGACCACACATCATGCATCAGCTCCCGAACCTCTGAGCCCCTGTCGTCCCCAGAAGCATCATGAGCATCAGCTGCCTAACCTCTCAGCTCCGTGAACCCCGCGGGCCAGCATCATGAACATCACCCCAAACCCCAAACCCCCAAACCCCCAAACCCCCAAACCCCAAACCCCAAACCCCAAACCCCAAACCCCAAACCCCAAACCCCAAACCCCAAACCCCAAACCCCAAACCCCAAACCCCAAACCCCAAACCCCAAACCCCAACAGCCTTCTTGTAGAAAGGAATCCCGACTTCCGAAACCCCTAAAACCCTGCATCCAAAACATGGGTAGTTCTCTGAATTAGGGCCTAAACCCTAAAACCCTAAACCCTAAACCCTAAACCCTAAAGCCTGAACCCTAAACCCCACTCCGATGTGGCCCAGTGATCCTGAAAAAGTCTTGCTAAGTGATCCGTCAACCCCCCAAAGCCCCAGAACCCACAAACTCTCAAGCTCTTGGTGACTGAAGACCCTAGACGCTTGACGCTTGACGCTTGACGCTTGACGCTAGACCCTAAATCCTAAACCCTAAACCCCAAGCCCTAAACCCTAAACCCTAAAGGCCCTAAACCCTAAACCCTAAACCCTAAAAACCCTATAAACCCTGAGCACCTGTGCCCGCCCCAAATGCCAGGCAACTGAAGAGCAAGCCGAAGACAGCCTCCCACCAGCCCGAGGCTTAGGGTTTGGGGATTGCTAGGGTTTAGGGTTTAGGGTTTAGGGTTTAGGGTTTAGGGTTTAGGGTTTAGGGTTTAGGGTTTAGGGCCTTTAGGCTCTGGCATTTGGTGGGGGCTGTGCGAGTTTCAGGTGTTTAGAGGTTTCGGGCGCTGAGACGTTTGGCTCAAGGCTAATGGAAGAGGTTTGTATGGCCATAAGAGGTTTATGTAGCAGCCTGAACGGCCAGAGTCAGCACACTGGTCGGTGATTTGTACAATTCATAGAGGGGGTTGTGGGTGTGGCGGGGGGGGGGGGGGGGAAGGGGCAGTAGGGCAGCATCTGAATTGTTGCGTTGAGGGTTATGGATGTTCCTCACCAAGGCAGATCTCTTCTCCACAGTCCACCTTCTCTACCTTGTCGACTGTACTAGGGTTTAGGGTTTAGGGTTTAGGGTTTAGGGTTTAGGGTTTAGGGTTTAGGGTTTAGGCTAGAGGCCCGAACATCCGCTGAGACATACTCAGGAATCAGCAGACCTCCAGACCAAGTTCGACAAGCGCATCGCCTCCTGCGAGAAGTGGAACGAAAACCAGGTGCTTGAGGTCCTTGCCCTGTTTTGCACATGGGGGGTTTCGGGTTTAGGGTTTAGGGCTTAGGGTTTAGAGTTTAGGGTCTAGGGTTTAGGGTTTAGGTTCAGGCATCACAACGTTTTCTTGTTGAAGCTGCTCCTGGGGACTTCGGGCTGGTAGGGGACCGAGAGACAGTCGCAAGCAGACTGTCACGAGAGAGGATGGCACTCGGAATTGGAGAGTTGAATCTTTCCTCCAAAGCCCCAAGCCCTAAACCCCAAACCCCGAACCCTAAACCCTAAACCCTAAACCCTAAACCCTAAACCCTAAACCCTAAACCCTAAACCCTAAACCCTAAACCCTAAACCCTAAACCCTGTGCAGAAACATAGAATCGACATCGCCGCCTTCCGCAACTGGTTTGAAGCAATGAAGAAGGCACGGCTGTGAAACCGATACCCTGAGCTTTCCTGCTGGGTTTAGGGTTTGTTTAGGGTTTAGGGTTTAGGGTTTAGGGTTTAGGGTTTAGGGTTTAGGGTTTAGGGTTTAGGGTTTAGGGTTTAGGGTTTAGGGTTTAGGATTGAGCCCAAGTGACCATGAGGCGACTGATGAGGTGCGGTCTCTTGTGCACATGGAGCCCAACAAGACGCAGGCGCCTTCAACGTCAACAGGGTTGAGGGTTGAGGGTTGAGGGTTGAGGGTTGAGGGTTGAGGGTTGAGGGTTTAGGGTTTAGGGTTTAGGGTTTAGGCGGGGCCTGGCCTGTTGTGAGAGCTGGCTGGATTGCTCATGCTGTGCAAGCATACCATCCCCAGACCCACGAACCCAAAACTCAATAAGCGCTGCACAACCCTAAGCCCTAAACCCTAAACCCTAAACCCTAAACAACCCCAAGCAACCCCAAACGACACCTGAAGCCCTTACTTGGAGGTTCACTGGTAACAATGGTTAGACCCTTATTCAGGGCACTTATAGGCTTAAGTGCCCATGAAACCTCCACCCTAAACCCTAATTAAACCCTAAACCCTCAACCCAGTCGACCGAGGCCGGCGACGGCGTGGAGGTGCTGTTTGAAAAGACGGCGTCGGTTGGCGGCCCGCGCGTCCTTCCGAAGGCCCGGCTGGGTTTAGGGTTTGGGGTTTAGGGTTTCGGGTTTAGGGTTTAGGGCTTAGGGCTTAGTGTTTATTAGGGTTTAGGTTTAGAGCTCAGGGATTAGGGTGTGGGTTGAGGGTTTAGGCAGGTTCCACGTGAGGGCCCTGGGGCGATATGAAATGAGGGTTTTATGGGTAGATCGTGCCTGCCTACGGATATGGGTGTGTTTTTTTTTCAAGAGTTGCTAAACCCTAAACCCTAAACCCGAAACCCTAAAGCCAAAAGCCTAAACCGTAAACCCTAAACTGCCCGACTCTGCCTTTTGGGGTCCTTCTTTTCAGGGTGCCGTTCTGTACACCCAACAGCCTTCTTGTAGGAAGGAATCCCGACTTTCGAAACCCCTAAACCCTGCATCCAAAACATGGGTAGTTCTCTGAACTAGGGTCCCTAAACCCTAAAACCCAAAACCCTAAACCCTAAACCCTAAACCCTGGTCCTCACTGTAAGGATGCCATACGGTATATAGGACCCCAAAAGGGGCCCTTTCTTTTTTTGCTGCACTGCGTGTTTAAGGCAGCGACCTTTGGACAAGTAACGATGATGAAACGTGACCCAAGACGGGACCCCAAACCCTAAACCCTACCCTAAACCCTGAACCCTGAACCCCAAACCCTGGAACCCGTGTTTGTTTTTTTGTTGTTGCGGCTTTTTGCAAAGGCGACCCAAAACAAAAGGCCAGCCAAAAAAAACCTCCACAGCAAAAAACAAACGCGCCCGTGTTTTTTTTTGCCGTGGCGACATTTTTTGTTGACGCGACCCGCACCCGGGGCAGACCAGCAAGTGAGTGAGTGAACCCGCGCCTGGCCTCCGCAGCAACAAAAAGGCGCCCGGCCTCCACAGCAAGAAAACAAACGCGGCAGGTCGGAACAGCAAAAAAACAACGCGCCCGGCCTCCACAAAAAAAACAAACGCGCCCGGCCTCCACAGCAAAAAAAAAAAACGCGCCCGGCCTCCGCAGCAAAAACAAAAAACGCGCCCGGCCTCCACAACAGAAAAAACACGCGCCCGGCCTCCACAGCAAAAATAAAAAAGCGCGCCCGGCCTCCACAAAAAAGAAAATACGCGCCCAGCCTCCACAAAAGAAAACGCACCAGGCCTCTACAGCAAAAAAGCCGCAACAAAAAAAAAACAAAAAACACTCTTGCCCCTAAACCCTAAACCCTAAACCCTAAACCCTAAGCCCTAAACCCTAAACCCTAAACCCTAAACCCTAGACCCTAGACCCCAGACCCTAGACCCCAGACCCTAGACCCTAGACCCTAGACCCTAAATCCGAAACCCTAAGCCCTAAACTTTAAACCCTTAACCTACCCATCGTTACAAAAGATTGGGGTGTTTCGCCAGAAGGTTCATCCGAGTTCCTCCCTTCAAGTCAGAGCCAACTCTGCACCTCGAACCCCGAAACCGTGCTGTAGGGCTTGGGGGTGTGAGAACATTGAGAATTTGGCAGTCCCAGGACACTTAAGGCCTTAGGCCTTACACCTTCCTCGGGTTGAGGGTTTAGGGTTTAGGCACGTGCAGTCGTTAGGGTTTAGGGTTTAGGGTGTGGGGTTTAGGGTCGGTTTAGGGTGTGGGGCTTAGGGTTTAGAGCTTAGGGTCGGTTTAGGGTGTGGGGTTTAGGGTTTAGAGCTTAGGGTTCAGGGTGGTTTAGGGTGGTTTAGGGTGGTTTAGGGTGGTTTAGGGTGGTTTAGGGTGGTTTAGGGTGGTTTAGAGTGGTTCAGGGTGGTTTAGGGTGGTTTAGGGTGGTTTAGGGTACTTAGGGCTAAGTATGACCGGACCTGGCAGTCGTTCCTGCCGCGCCAACGTAGATTTTCCTTCCTAGGCTTCTGATAGGGTCCACCAGTCGAAGGTTTGGAGTTTTAGGGTTCAGGGTTTAGGGTTTGACGTTTGAGTTTTGGGCCGGCCGTCGACAAAGCCCTCGAAATCCCTCGAAACCCTCAAGCCGAAACCCCAAAACCTCCGTAATCCCCTCCCCCTTATACTAAAACCCCCCCCCCACCCCCGCAATTCTAAACTTCGCCTCGGCCGGACCAAAATTTAAAATTAGGGGGGACCTAGACCCTAAAACCTGAAATCTGAAGCCTGGGAGAGAAGGAGTGTAGGGTTTAGGTTTGGGGTTCAGGGTTCAGTTAGGGCTGCCTTAAGCCCAAAACCCTAATTAAACCCTCTGAGCCTCGAGCCCTAAACCCTGCAAATCCTCTGAGCAGCCCTAAACCCCAATGGAAAACGCGGATAATGGCTCAACTCAAGGGCGGAGGCCCTCGACCCCCCCTCATTCTCAAACAGGTTTAGTATTGGGCTGGGTGCCGGAAGGGTCTGGGAATAACAATATTTAATATTTACAATTCGGGTGGGGTTTAGTATTAGGGGGAGGGGATTAACTCTTCGGCATTGGGCCCTATTAGGTGCAGGCCCTGTCAGCCCCAACTGCATGTGTGACCCCCCACCCAACACCCTGCGTGCCCTCCGTGCCCTCCGGAGTGCGCGGAGCGTGGAGGGCGCAGAGTGCGCGGAACCCCGTCAACCGGATAGATCGCGCTCTGAACCCCTTGTCCACGTGTACCCCCCTCCCTGTCCGCGCTCCCCCTCCCCCGATGCGGTCCACGCCTCCCCACGCCCCTCTCCCATCCGTGAAACCGCACATCGCCCTTCCCCCATGGTCCACGCCTCCCCGCGCCCCTCTCCCATCAGAATATCCGTTGACCATCTCCTCTTCCTCGCCTCTTCCGTCATGCAGAACGCGATCCGATAGCGCGCCTTCCGCGTTGAGTTGCTAAACGAGAACCCAGCCCCAGAAAGGTTTTCGGGAACAAGCTAAGAACAACGAGCACGCCCCCCCCCCCCCCCCCCCCGCAATTTAAGGTTTAGGGTTTGGGGTTTCGGGTTTAGGGTTTAGGGTTCCTTGGACTCCCAACCTGAAACCTTGAACCCTGAAACCTTCTGTCGCAGCCTCCTGCAAGGTGAAGGTGGGCGGCATGAAAGAAGATACGGGCCTGCGGCCTAAGGTACTGAACCCTGCCCATGAAGTCCTCAACACAGTTTCAAGTAGGGTAACATCTACTTTGCTTCAGCGCTGTGATAAGGGTACCTCAGCGACAAAGTGAGGCCAAAGATGATCCTAAACAGAGTCCCGGCCCAGAGACCTTCCTAGCGCACCCCTGCAACCTTTCTGACACCCAAGGAAATGGGGACGAGCCCCCCCCATACACCGCACCTCCCCACACCTTGAGGCCTAAGATGATTCCCCCCCCCCCCCACTCCAACCCGCAATAAAACGGCGACCTTCTAGGCACGCCGATCGTATGTTTGGCATGATTTGGGCTATTATTTAAACGCCCTAGGCCCTAAGCCCTAAACCTAAACCCAAAACCACAGATTCAGGTGTGTTCATCTTAGGTCCGGCTTTCGGGGCCTCGGGCGGCCCGAGCGCGAAGGTGCCAGCGTCGGCCTGGGTCCCAGAGGGATTTGGGGTTTGGGGTTTAGGGTTAGGGTTTAGGGTTTAGGGTTTATTTAGAGTTTAGGGTTTAGGGTTTAGGGTTTAGGGTTTAGGGTTTAGGGTTTAGGAGTGGGATTTCGAGAATTCCTGTGCAAGAGGGATCCTACGAAAGTTGGGGTATACAGGGGTCACCCCCTCTTGCAGGAAACCACAAGGATTCTGTGAGTCACCCGGCTTCTGCGAGCAAGCTCGTATCTAGGGCCGTTGTTCGCTTGCTGGCATCATGCTTTTGCCTTGAGGGTAGCTCTCCTTATCAGGGTTCCGTTTGGGCTCCTTGTTATCAGGTGCTGTATTCTATAGGGGACCCAAAAAGGGACCCTAAGAGAGAGAGCTACCCATGAGGTCGTTTCTGTGCATCTCGGTTCAGAAGGATGTGACGTGGGTCATCTGTCGGCGACTTGGACGGTGCTGTCGGAACAGCCTGATGCAGTGACAGTTCTCCCATGCCCTTTAGGGTGCAATGTTGGGACGTTCCCCCTGATACTAACAGCCCTTTTTGGGGGAATTCTCGTACCCCCCCCTATTATCCTCCCTATGAAGGACTGTTAGTGTAAGGGGGAACATCCCAAGGTTTAGGTTTTGCTAAACCCTAAACCCTAAACCCTAAACCCTAAACCCTAAACCCTAAACCCTAAACCCTAAACCCTAAACCCTAAACCCTAAACCCTAAACCCTGGACCCTAAACCCTCAACCCTAAACCTCCCAAGTGCAATGGTTTGGGGTGCAGCGGTGTAGTGGTTGGGGTTGCGTCGGGCATGTGACGCAGGGCCTGGCAGAAGTACTTGTCGGAGCACCAGCTGGATGGATCTTGCCGTCCGAAGGCCTTTAGGGTTTAGGGTTTAGGGTTTAGGGTTTAGGGTTTAGGGTTTAGGGTTTAGGGTTAGGGTTTAGGGTTTCAGGAGGTAAACTTCGGTTTGGGGGTTCAGGGTAGGTGTGGAAAAGCCGTCTTTCAGGGATTTGCCGGGCCTAGGGCAAGCTTCGTCCACTGTTGCTACATACGCGAAGCATGTCCGGAAAGTGGTGCCGGCATGGTGGCTTCGTGGCGCGATTATGTCCTTGACGCCTCTCGTAGCATCTCGCCTTCGATGTTGTAACTGACCCGACGACCTGAGACCCCAAACCCCCAAGCTGTTGTATGGATCCTAGACCCAAAGTTGTGCATGTGCTGTTGAAAGCTTTTGTGTCTTCAATGCCAGATGCGCGGACGCGAGCTTCTCTGAAGTCTGAAGCCCCCTGAACCCTAAACCCTAAACCCTTAACCCTAAATCCTAAACCCTAACCCGAAGCCATAAACCCTAGCGTTTGCTGCGTAGGACAAGAGCTTCTACGGCTGCAGTGCGCCGCTCTTCGCCGAGAGCACAACTGGAAGGTGCGCTTCCGCATCCCGAAACTGACGGGATCTTGGTGGTTTTCCGATGTTTAGGGTTTAGGGTTTAGGGGTACCTTGTTGGGGTCCTGATTATCAGGGAATCCTACTATTTGGGGTATTTTACACCTTGGTAGGGAGGAGGGATTCGTCTGGGCCTGACGAGAAAGCTGCGAAAGCCGCTCAGGGTTCAGGGTTTAGGGGCTCGGTATTTAGGGCTTAGGGTTTAGGGTTTAGGTTTAGGGTTGGGCATTGACATCCCCCAAGTGCTGGACCTGCCCGAAACCCGAAGGCCCAAGCCCAAGCCCCTGATGTTGTTTTTGGGTATCTGGTTCATATTTAGTGCCCTAAACCCTCTTTCCGACGGCATGAGTCGACTTCTACCCTTGGTGGGCTTTGAATTTCGGATGTCGGCGATGAATCCCCCAAAGGAAACGGAGAGATAGGGGAAGGTTTTTTGAGGGTCTAAGGTTTCATGGTCTAGCATGTGGGTGGTTGTCAAAATTATTTGGGATCCCCGTTCTGATACGGCACCTAATGTTTAGGGTACTCCAAAAGGGAGCATAATTTTGACAGCCACCCAGGTAGAGAATTGCCCAGAAGGCCACAGCTGTCAAGTGCAGCCTCCCTAAAGTCTAAACCCTAAACCCTAAACCCTAAACCCTAAACCCTAAACCCTAAACCCTAAACCCTAAACCCTAAACCCTAAACCCTAAACCCTAAACCCTACACCCTAAACCCTAAACCCTAAACCCTAAACCCTAAACCCTAAACCCTAAACGCAGGTTCATCCCCAGGGCGATTTTGGCTGGATATGATGGTGGACGGATGGACACCATCAGCCAGGCCGGCTGGGCAGCCTGGAAAGACGCTTTGGAAGGTTCATGGGTAGTTCTACAGACAGATACATCCCGAAGCCCTAAACCCTAAAGCCTAAACCCTAAACCCTAAACCCTAAAGCCTAAACCCTAAACCCTAAACCCTAAACCCTAAACCCTAAACCCTAAACCCTAAACCCTAAACCCTAAACCCTAAACCCTAAACCCTAAACCCTAACCCCCCCCAAGAGCCTACAAGTTGCCCGGAGCCGCGGAACGGTGTGGGGACAGGCGGGCATCTTCGCGCCGACTTCCTTCCTCACAGGGAGCAAGCCCGGTTTGCAGCTCAGAGGAGCATAAGATGATGTGTTCTACGTAGGGTTTAGGGTTTAGGGTTTAGGGTTTAGGGTTTAGGGTTTAGGGTTTAGGGTTTAGGGCAATATCATATCTTCTGACGATCAAAAGGTAAACATCTGGATCCTAAATACTTAATAAGCTAGTAGGAGATGCTCCCATCGAACCACGTGTTGAAGTGTCCGTGAAGAGCTGGAAGTTGATATGGCAGACTCGCTTGCAGGCGGAACTTGGTTAGATGGGCAGAATGATTCATCTTTCTGCGACGAGGCGCTTGATGCCGTGGTTTTACGGTCCGGGTTTGGGGTTTAGGGTTTAGGGTTTAGGGTTTAGGGTTCAGGGTTCAGGGTTCAGGGTTTAGGGTTTAGGGTTTAGGGCCTAGGGTACATTACACTGCGGGTCACAGGAACTTCGAGCGCCCGGTGCAAATGTAGCCCACTCCACAAGCTTTGTTCGAACCCTAAACCCTAAACCCTAAACCCCAAACCCTAAACCCTAAATCCTAAACCCTAAACCCTAAACCCTAAACCCGTAACCCTAAACCCAAAATCCTAAACCCTGCGCCAACCGGCAGATCTTCGAGTCTCTCCGAAGGCAGATGGAGCAGGCCTGGGCGTGTTGCAATGCACTGTACCCCAAACCCTAAACCCCAAACCCTAAACCCTAAACCCTAAACCCTAAACCCTAGACCCTAGACCCTAAACCCTAAACCCTAAACTCAACCCTGGAGGGCCTAGAACCCTTGGAGCCCAGAGCCCCCACACTCTGCGGAAGGCAGACTTCGTGGAAGGAATGCTGTTCAACCACAACGCCAGTGAGGTCCGGTCTTGAAATTACATGCCTAAATTCCACATATATGCATACACATATACATATACATATGCGTATGCATATGCGTATGCGTATGCATATGCATGCGCATGCATACATACATACATACATACATACATACATACATACATACATACATACATACACACATAAATACATACATACATAAGTACGTAAGTATGTGTTTGTATATATATATATATTTATTTATGCTCGCCCCCCCCCCCCCCCCCATGATCCACACATTTGGCCTCGGGAAGGCTGGTTTTGGGAGGGGCGGGACTCCAGACTCCAGATTTCCAGAAAAAATCTGTAGTACCCCCAGACTCCAGACTCCAGATTTCCAGAAAAAATCTGGAGTACCTCCAGACCCCAGACTCTAGATTCCAGAAAAAATCTGGAGTACCGGGACCCTGGACTCCAGATTCTGGAGTCTGTAATCTGGAGTCTGGGGGCCCGGGTACTCCAGATTCTTTCTGGAAATCTGGAGTCTGGAGTCCGGGGCCCCGGTACTCCAAATTTTTCTGGAAATCTGGAGTCTGGAGTCCGGGGCCGCGGTACTCCAGATTTTTTCTGGAAATCTGGAGTCTGGAGTCCGGGGCCCCGGTACTCCAGGTTTTTTCTGGAAATCTGGAGTCTGGAATCCGGGGCCCCGGTACTCCAGATTTTTTCTGGAAATCTGGAGTCTGGAGTCCGGGGCTCGGGTGCATATGGAGTCCGGGGCCCATGTTCTCCACATGCACGTTTAGGGATTACGGTTTAGGTTTAGGGTTTGTAGGGTTTAGTGTTTAGGGTTCAGTGTTTGTTGTTTGGGGTCTAGTGTTTAGGTTTTGGTTTTAAAGGTTTAGGGTTTACTTTTTAGGGTTAAGGTTTAAGCGACTTGGATAATGTCTAAAACCCTAAACCTTATAATGATGAAGATTTAAAACCCCTAAGGACTGCAACCCCATGTTTTTTTGGCTTGGGGTTGGTTTAGGGTTCAGGATGTGTTGTTTCGGGTAAAGGGTTTAGTGTTCAGTGTTTAGGGTCTAGTGTGTAGGTTTCAGAGTTTAGTGTTTTGTGTTTAGGGTTGAGTGTTAAGTTTAGGGTCTAGAGTTTAGGTTTAGGGTTTAGGGTCAAGCGACTTGGCTAACACCCTAAACCAAATAAAACCCTAAACGCTAAAATCCAAACAGTAAGCATCTGAAACCCCGACGGGTTTTTGGTTTCAGGTTTAGATTTAGTAGGGCTTGAGGTTCCGGCTTCGGGGTTTACTGTTTAGTGTTTAGGGTTTAGTGTGTAGGGTTTAGTGTGTACTGTTTAAAGTAGTGTTTAGGGTGCAGTGTTTAAGTGTTTAGGGTTTAGTGCTTAAGCGTTTAGGTTTACGTGTTAAGTGTTTGGGGTTTGTGCTAAGGGCTTAGTGTTAAGTTTTTAGGGCTAGTGTTTAGGGTCTAGTGCTGAGTGTTTAGGGTTTAGTCCTAAGGGTTTCGGGTTTGGTTTTTAGGGGTAAGGGTTTTAAGGGCTTTAAGGATTTTACAAATTCAAATGATCTGGGGAAGGCACCGGGGCTTCCCCAGACCATTGACAACTTTAAAAATCCTGCCGTTTAGGGTTTAGGGTTTAGTGTTCAGGGTTTAGTGTGTAGGGTTTAGTGTGTAATGTTCAGGGTTTAGTTTCTAGGGTGTAGTGTTTAAGTTTTTAGGGTCTAGTGTTTAGGGTTTAGTGCTTAAGAGTTTAGGGTTTCGTGTTAAGTGCTTGGGGTTTGTGCTAAGGGCTCTTAGTGTTAAGTTTTTAGGGTTAGTGTTTAGGGTCTGGTGCTGAGTGTTTAGGGTTTAGTGTTAATGGTTCCGGGTTTGGTTTTTAGGGTTACGGGTTTCAAGGATTTTTCAAATTTTAATGATCTGGGGAAGGCACCGGGGGCCCCCAGACCATTTTTCAAAAACTTTTAGAATTTACATGGTCTGGGGAAGGCACCGGGGCTTCCCTAGACCATCTGAACTTTTAAAACCCTTAAAATCTTATCAAAATCCTTGAAATTCTGTTTAAACATTCTCAGGATTTTACAGGTTTTAAGGCCTTTTAAAAAACCTTAAAATGCTTACACATTTATGTGGCCGCCCTTTTAGGATTTTAAGGTTTTTTAAAGTTAGTTGTCAGTGGTCTGGAGAACCCGGTGCCATCCCCAGACCATGTAAATTTTTACAAATCCTTTAACAGGACAGGATTGTAGGATGTTCAATTCTAAAATCCGTAACTTCCTTAATTTTGAACGGCTGCCCTTTAAAAAATTTAAGGTATTTTAGAATTTTAAGGGATAAACGTTTTCAGGTTCTTAAGGACTTTAAAGCCTTTTAAATCCTGAAAGTTTTGAATGGCTTTAAATACCTTGAAGCCCTTAAAGGGGCTGCTCATTCAAAAACAATTAAGGATTTTAAGGGTTTTTAAAATTTGAAATGGTCTGGGTGAGCCCCGGTGCCTTCCGCAGATCATCTAAATTTTAAAACACCCCTAAACCCTGAAAAGCCTCAAAATTCGAAATGGCTGCCCTTTTTTATGGAGCCGCAAGACACACGTTTCAGAAGCAAACATGCACATACAAACACTAGTGTTTTTATAGGGGAGAATATAGCAGAGCTTTTTGTGTTCCAGTACAGTTTTTGCTGCATTTTTCCGAGGAAAAAGCAGAAAATCAGACAAAGACGAAGACAGGAAAACCACAGGTGTGGATCATGGGCGGGGGGAGGTGACCATATAAATATATATATATGTATGTATGTATGTCTGTATGTATGTATGTATGTATGTATGTATGTATGTATGTATGTATGTATGTATGTATGTATGTATGTATGTATGTATGTATGTGTGTGTATATATATATATATGCAGAATATGGTGCATATATGGTTCAGCGTCGGGCGTTCCCGGCCCCCCCCCCCCCCCCTCCCCCCCCCTCTCCCACCCCCTCCCCCCCCCCCTCCCCCCCACCCCCCCTCCCCCCCCTCCCCCCCCCGCCCCCACCCCCCCCCCCCCCCCCCCCCCCTCCCCCCGCTTCCCCCTCCCCCCCCCCTCCCCCCCCCCCCCCCCCCTCCCCCCCCCCGCCCCCCCCCCCTCCCCCCCCCTCCCCCCCCCCCCTCCCCCCCCCCTCCCCTCCCCCCCCCTCCCCCCCCCCCCCCCTCCCCCCCCCCCCCACA